AGATTTATGAAACAACCGCACTCTCGAATGTGCAGTGATTGTCACACGGTTGGTTGCTATGTTGTTTTACGCCGCACTCAGCAATTTTCCAGCTATATGACGGCGGTCTGTAAAAAAATCGAGTCTGGACCAGACAATCCAGTGATTGATATCATGAGCATTGATCCACGCAATTGGGATACGATGACATGCATCAACCAAGTCAGCAAGCCTGACCACCCGATCCCGTTAGTCGCCTCTTACGACAAGCATAGTCACCTTTTACGGCAAACATGGGTTGCTGAAGACCTATTCTACCCCTGATCTTCATGGGTCAATTGTCACACGGAAATAGCTTGGATAAGGCTCGAGGTCCGACTTGAATCCAGCCATCAGTGTGATGGACACTGGTAGAAAAGTTGGTTTCCTCCAAGGCAGGTCGTACTAGCAATACCTCGAATCTTCTTCGTCCTGCTCTTACACTGCACAGTAGGCGTGCCAACCTGTATCGGCGGCGTCACACCAAAAGACTTTAAAAGATGATACTTGTTGTTACCCTGCCTCGCGTTCGGGATTAAGGGGCTAAAACAAGGACTGGTCGGGTACGAGTCCGTATACTGTGTCTGAGTGGGGTATTCATGTTAAACTGCGGCATGGTATCTAATTGGGCTAGTACTATAAAATTGGCATTAATCCGGACTGGTACAAGCAGCCACACACACACGCGCGCACACGCACACACACACACACACACACACACACACACACACACACACACACACACACACACACACACACACGTCATGCACGTCACTTTATAAGTGCAATAATCTTTGACTCGACACTTAACCCCATTTCACCTCATATCAATACACTGTACTCCACCTTGAAGAGACTGGAAGGTGTGCCATTGACGACACAGTAAGAAGAGCTCCTCACAGTGACGTGAGAGTTGCAGATGAAGCAAACCAAGGGAGGTAACTTTATGTCAAAGATCCGACCAAAGTTAAACATATTTTACAGGCGCCTCAAATCAATGGCCACGTTCATCATTAATACTGCTACAATATACAAAATACAACATTCATTGCTACATCAAAGTATGCAGTCCTTGACCCTCAAATATTTTTTCTTATGTGTGCAAGGCGTGTTGAGCTTCACTAGCAGTGAGTAAAATGAAATAGTATGAGCTTTTCAAGGAAGTATCATTTCTGTCGTTTGAAGTATGAATTAGAAGAAAATTGCTTTCTCCGAGCAGGTGCAGCTCACGAATACGTGAGTGATTCCACCGGTAGGTGTCTTTAGTGTAGGACATACATAAGCGCTCGCAGATTTGAATTGCTGATTCTCGCTAATTGTAGCACGTCCTTTTCAGCTGTAGTATATCACATATTCAACTATTTGTGTCAGATAACATAATGGTGTACATTCCAAATTTTGTTTGGTATGTTCCACATGTTTATGACAATGGGCGTTGTCAACATCAAATGTATGGCGGGTGCTTTTGGCCAGGCTGGAGATTATAAAACATGTTTGTAAGGACCCGTGAAGATCAGGGGTGGAATAGGTCTTCAGCAACCCATGCTTGCCGCAAAAGGTGACTATGCTTGTCGTAAGAGGCGACTAACGGGATCGGGTGGTCAGGCTCGCTGACTTGGTTGATGCATGTCATCGTATCCCAATTGTGTAGATCGATGCTCATGATGTCAATCACTGGATTGTCTGGTCTTCACTTGATTATTTACTGACCGCCGTCATACAGTTGGAATATTGCTGAGTGCGGCGTTAAACAACAAACAAACAAAACAAAATTTAGTTGTTTGGGTTTCACGATTTCAAGGATTTAACGGTAGACAAGGATGGATCATGGAGGGCCAAGGCAGGACCTGGTAACGGTAGACAAGGATAGACCATGGAGGGCCAAGGCAGGACCTGGTAACGGTAGACAAGGATGGACCATGGAGGGCAAAGGCAGGACCTGGTAACGGTAGACAAGGATGGACCATGGAGGGCCATGGAAGGACCTGGTAACGGTAGACAAGGATGGATCATGGAGGGCCATGGAAGGACCTGGTAACGGTAGACAAGGATGGATCATGGAGGGCCAAGGCAGGACCTGGTAACGGTAGACAAGGATGGACCATGGAGGGCCAAGGCAGGACCTGGTAACGGTAGACAAGGATGGATCATGGAGGGCCAAGGCAGGACCTGGTAACGGTAGACAAGGATGGATCATGGAGGGCCATGGAAGGACCTGGTAACGGTAGACAAGGATGGATCATGGAGGGCCAAGGCAGGACCTGGTAACGGTAGACAAGGATGGACCATGGAGGGCCAAGGCAGGACCTGGTAACGGTAGACAAGGATGGATCATGGAGGGCCATGGCAGGACCTGGTAACGGTAGACAAGGATGGACCATGGAGGGCCAAGGCAGGACCTGGTAATGGTAGACAAGGATGGATCATGGAGGGCCATGGAAGGACCTGGTAACGGTAGACAAGGATGGATCATGGAGGGCCAAGGCAGGACCTGGTAACGGTAGACAAGGATGGACCATGGAGGGCCAAGGCAGGACCTGGTAACGGTAGACAAGGATGGATCATGGAGGGCCAAGGCAGGACCTGGTAACGGTAGACAAGGATGGATCATGGGGGGCCATGGAGAAACCTGGTAACGGTAGACAAGGATGGATCATGGAGGGCCATGGCAGGACCTGGTAACGGTAGACAAGGATGGATCATGGAGGGCCAAGGCAGGACCTGGTAACGGTAGACAAGGATGGACCATGGAGGGCCAAGGCAGGACCTGGTAACGGTAGACAAGGATGGATCATGGAGGGCCATGGCAGGACCTGGTAACGGTAGACAAGGATGGACCATGGAGGGCCAAGGCAGGACCTGGTAACGGTAGACAAGGATGGACCATGGAGGGCCATGGAAGGACCTGGTAACGGTAGACAAGGATGGATCATGGAGGGCCATGGAAGGACCTGGTAACGGTAGACAAGGATGGACCATGGAGGGCCATGGAAGGACCTGGTAACGGTAGACAAGGATGGACCATGGAGGGCCATGGAAGGACCTGGTAACAGTAGACAAGGATAGACCATGGAGGGCCAAGGCAGGACCTGGTAACAGTAGACAAGGATAGACCACGGAGGGCCAAGGCAGGACCTGGTAACAGTAGACAAGGATGGATCATGGGGGGCCATGGCAGGACCTGGATGTTGTGATTCCTGAAAGGACTGCTGTCAATCTTGCCGTGTGGAGGTCGGGCGTTTTCTTGTTGGAAAATGACGGTCGATTGTTGCATAATGGGAGAGATGTGTGGCCGAAAAATCTCATCTGTGTATCAGCCATATATTTACGATTTTACTACTTTTGCGTTTCCTTTTTGCAGAGTATAATAAGATCAAATCGGTTATTTGTTTCTGTGTTTGTTGAAAGCTAAATGAGTGAATGAGTGATATGGTTTTACACCGTTATTGACACATTTAAAACCGTCACACACGCGACACAAGTTGGACAAGGATTTTGAGTTGGACAAGGCTTTATCGATAGAGTGAGTGAGTGAGTTGGGTTTAACGCCGCTTTTAACAGTATTCCAGTTATATCAAGGCGTGTCAGCTTAATGTGGGAGGAAAGCCCGAAGTGATGCAGGTCTCAGACGTTTACCACTTCGGTGAAACCCACGAGCACGGGTATGGTGCTGACAAACCTAGAAACATAATTTGGAAGAACCGGGATTCGAACCCACAATCACAATCCCAAGGGACGCAACTCTGCACAGCGAATCGCGGCGACTTAGACGACTGGGCCACCCGTGCCCCCCTTTATCGATAGACAAAGATGTAACGTTGGACAAATATCTAAAGATAGACAACGATTTAGAGTTGGACAAGGAGTTAACGTCGGACAAAGGGTTTAGAGTTGAAGAAAGATGTAAAGCTCGATAAAGATGTAACGTTGGACGGGGATTTAGAGTTAAGTAACGTTGTGCAAAGGATGTAAGGATGGACAAGTTGTAAATGATGTACAATGACTTCACGCTTTCAGGATTTAAAGCTCGACAAAGATGTAACGTTGGACGGGGATATAGAGTTAAGTAACGTTGTGCAAAGGATGTAAGGATGGACAAGTTGTAAATGATGTACAATGACTTGACGCTTTCAGGATTTAACGCTCGACAAAGATGTAACGTTGGACGGGGATTAAGAGTTAAGTAACGTTGTGCAAAGGATGTAAGGATGGACAAGTTGTAATTGATGTACAATGACTTCACGCTTTCAGGATTTAACGATTGACAAGTTGTAAATGATGTACAATGACTTGACGCTTTCAGGATTTAACGCTCGACAAAGATGTAACGTTGGACGGGGATTTAGAGTTAAGTAACGTTGTGCAAACTTAAGAATGTAAGGATGGACAAGTTGTAAATGATGTACAATGACTTGACGCTTTCAGGATTTAACGCTCGACAAAGATGTAACGTTGGACGGGGATTTAGAGTTAAGTAACGTTGTGCAAAGGATGTAAGGATGGACAAGTTGTAAATGATGTACAATGACTTCACGCTTTCAGGATTTAACGCTCGACAAAGATGTAACGTTGGACGGGGATTTAGAGTTAAGTAACGTTGTGCAAAGGATGTAAGGATGGACAAGTTGTAATTGATGTACAATGACTTCACGCTTTCAGGATTTAAGATTGACAAGTTGTAAATGATGTACAATGACTTGACGCTTTCAGGATTTAACGATTGACAAGTTGTAAATGATGTACAATGACTTCACGCTTTCAGGATTTAACGCTCGACAAAGATGTCACGATGGACAACACTAAGGATTTAATGAGGTAGAAGGATGTAACGATTGTCAAGTATTTGACGTTTGAGAAGGATTTCAGGTTGGGCATGGGTTCAACGATGGACAAGGCCTCCGACCTCCTACCAGTCTTGATCAGTGGCACAATACACACACATCAACACAGCCTTCAGTGAAAAAAAAGCACAAACAATTATGAATTGTAAATATGAGCATTTTATTGGTTTTCTATATAAACAGTAACTTGAAGAAGACGGACACAAATTATTTAACATATCAAGGTAAAAATCGGACATCTTTCATCCTTCTTTCTGCTAGAAACCTTCTCATACGTAGCATACTGGTATAGGAAAATATAGACAGATCACTATCTGGTTGTTATATCACAGCTAGTAATAAAGTCACATCCCTTTCACAGACACCGTTATCGCTCGGTCTAGGTGTACTTTGGTATAAAAGATGCTTCTGAAATGACAACGAATCATGAAAATGTGTAGCTGTACAGAAATATATCAATTTTATTTTGATTATTTTTTAAGTCTATACAAAACCTTCAGCTATACAACACGACCGAGTCTGTGTTCGGGTTTTCATGCTTTCTCTATTTCAGTGCAATTTTTGTGCAGCTACCAATTCCTATTCACAAACAAACATAATTAGATGACAAATGAAACGGAGGATAAATGTAAAGATTGTTTGGATTGACGAGAACAAACCCATTTGCTGCCGCTTATGAGCTCTTCATATAGTGGTGTGAATTTTTTTTCCCCGGTTGTAAACTAACCATTAAATATAAACATAGCATTGTAAGATGCAAATGTAATGAGCTGGTCCTCGATAACGTATGTTATACCCGATCTGATCCTGTTACGTCAAAGTATGAAGCTGACGCCCCAAGACGTATAGTATATACGACGTGACACTGTTACGTCAAAGTATGAAGCTGACGCTCGACGTATAGTATATACGACGTGACACTCTTACGTCAAAGTATGAAGCTGACGCTCGTCGTATAGTACATACGACGTGACACTGTTACGTCAAAGTATGAAGCTGACGCTCGCTGTATAGTACATATGATGTGAAACTGTTACGTCTTTATATGAAGCTGACGCTCGCTGTATAGTATATACGACGTGACACTGTTACGTCTTTGTATGAAGCTGACGCTCGCTGTATAGTATATACGACGTGACACTGTTACGTCTTTGTATGAAGCTGACGCTCGCTGTATAGTACGTACGACGTGACACTGTTACGTCAAAGTATGAAGCTGACGCTCGCTGTATAGTATATACGACGTGACACTGTTACGTCTTTGTATAAAGCTGACGCTCGCTGTATAGTATATACGACGTGACACTGTTACGTCTTTGTATGAAGCTGACGCTCGCTGTATAGTACGTACGACGTGACACTGTTACGTCAAAGTATGAAGCTGACGCTCGACGTATAGTATATACGACGTGACACTGTTACGTCTTTGTATGAACTGACGCTCGACGTATAGTATATACGACGTGACACTGTTACGTCAAAGTATGAAGCTGACGCTCGACGTATAGTACATACGACGTTACACTGTTACGTCTTTGTATGAAGCTGACGCTCGCTGTATAGTACATACGACGTGACACTGTTACGTCTTTCTATGAAGCTGACGCTCGACGTATAGTATATACGACGTGACACTGTTACGTCTTTGTATGAAGCTGACGCTCGACGTATAGTATATACGACGTGACACTGTTACGTCAAAGTATGAAGCTGACGCTCGACGTATAGTACATACGACGTTACACTGTTACGTCTTTGTATGAAGCTGACGCTCGCTGTATAGTACATACGACGTGACACTGTTACGTCAAAGTATGAAGCTGACGCTCGACGTATAGTATATACGACATGACTCTGTTACGTCTTTGTATGAAGCTGACGCTCGCTGTATAGTACATACGACGTGACACTGTTACGTCAAAGTATGAAGCTGACGCTCGACGTATAGTATATACGACGTGACACTGTTACGTCAAAGTATGAAGCTGACGCCCCAAGACGTATAGTATATACGACGTGACACTGTTACGTCAAAGTATGAAGCTGACGCCCCAAGACGTATAGTATATACGACGTGACACTGTTACGTCTTTGTATGAAGCTGACGCTCGCTGTATAGTACATACGACGTGACACTGTTACGTCAAAGTATGAAGCTGACGCTCGACGTATAGTATATACGACGTGACACTGTTACGTCAAAGTATGAAGCTGACGCTCGACGTATAGTATATACGACGTGACACTGTTACGTCAAAGTATGAAGCTGACGCTCGCTGTATAGTATATACGACGTGAAACTTACGTCAAAGTATGAAGCTGACGCTCGACGTATAGTATATACGACGTGACACTGTTACGTCTTTGTATGAAGCTGACGCTCGCTGTATAGTACATACGACGTGACACTGTTACGTCTTTGTATGAAGCTGACGCTCGACGTATAGTATATACGACGTGACACTGTTACGTCTTTGTATGAAGCTGACGCTCGACGTATAGTACATACGACGTGACACTGTTACGTCTTTGTATGAAGCTGACGCTCGCTGTATAGTACATACGACGTGACACTGTTACGTCAAAGTATGAAGCTGACGCTCGACGCATAGTATATACGACGTGACACTGTTACGTCTTTGTATGAAGCTGACGCTCGCTGTATAGTACATACGACATGACACTGTTACGTCAAAGTATAAAGCTGACGCTCCAAGACGTATAGTATATACGACGTGACACTGCTACGTCTTTGTATGAAACTGACGCTCCCTGACGTATCGTACATACGACCTGACAAGGTTACGTCAGTATATGAAGTTGATGCAACAATACGTATCGTATATTCAATCTGCTCCCACAGTCATGACTGGAGGGGACGCCAAATGACGTATCAAATATACGACCCGACTCTACTACATCAACGTACGAAGCTAACATTCCATGGCGTTATAATATGCGACCTTTCCTAACTATTGTGTCATGTGAAGTGTCCTAAATACGACCTAACCTTTCTAAGTCGTACTCCACAGTTGTCATCCTACTTAACGGGGCGGTCGGGTAGCCTGGTGGTTAAAGCGTTCGCTCGTCACGCCGAAGACCCGGGTTCGATTCCCGACATGGGTACAATGTGTGAAGCCCATTTCTGGTGTCCCCCGCCGTGATATTGCTGGAATATTGCTAAAAGCGGCGTAAAACCATACTCACTCACTCACTCACTCACTCACTCATCCTACTTAACATACTCACCACATATATCGCCTAGCTCTGCACTTGTGTCAAGCTACAATATTATGATATTACTAATCATATTCTAAGTACTAATCATACTAACAATTGACGTTTCCACAGTCGTTGGTATCAATGGATGAATATGCTCTAATCCCTGGAACGGGGCACACAAGAAATCCGATAATGTTTCTATGTTTCTTGGTTTGTCAGCACCATACCCGTGCTCGTGGGTTTCACCAAAGAGGTAAACGTCTAAGACTTGCATTACTTCGGGACTTCCTCCCACATTAGACTGATACGCCGTGATCTAACTGTAATACTGTTCAAGGCGATGTTAAACCCAACTCATTGTAATTGAAATAACAAGCCCGGGAATGAAAATAATGTGTTTGAATATGGCAGTCCAAAACACTGATGAAAATGAGCTGTCGTAGATCCAGCGATGAGAATTGCTCAGCTCGTCATGATGGGGCCATTTCTTGTATCTCTCGCAGCTCCCGCACAGTGCACAGAGCGTGGAGATATTGGGAAAACAGTTTGATAAGACCAGCGGTATTTTCCTTTGACAGGCAGTGGATATATAACGACATGCACTCCTCCGTGAACTGACACATACACAATTGTTGATCAATATGGCGCTCTTGGGCCGGAACCGGAAGTAGATTACGAGATAATTTTAGAGCATAGGGCGCCGCCATCATTACAGTTAGCCTCTCAGCGAGAGACATCTGCAAAAGAGAAACAACACCAATATATATTTGGTTGCGCATCACAACAATGAACCCTGTCACATTAGATTTACACGGATTTCTCTAATTGAAAATGTTAACATACTTTCGTTTTTTCTGTTTTAGTTTATGGAATAATTAAGTAAAACATATAATAACCCGTTCAACAAATGGATCGTAGCGCTAAGGCCAAACTAACTCCACTATTTTAAGGTGAGGTGAAATGGGGTTTAACGTCGCGTCCAAGATTATTGCACTTATATAGCGTCGTTCATGCACGTGTGTGTGTGCGTCCAAGATTATTGCACTTATATAGCGTAGTTCATGCACGTGTGTGTGTGTGTGTGTGTGTGTGTGTGTGTGTGTGTGTGTGTGTGTGTGTGTGTGTGTGTGTGGCTGCTTGTACTAGTCCGGACTGATGCCGATTTATAGTGCTAGCACACTGAGATACCATGCCGCAGTTTAACATGAATACCCCACTCAGACACAGTATACTGACTCCGAGCCGACCAGTTCTTGTTTTAACCCCTAAACGCCGAGTGGCAGACAGGGTAACAATAAGTACCATCTTTTAACGTCTTTTGGTATGACGCGGCCGGGGATCTAACCCCGGACCTTCCGCTCTCCGGGCGGACGCTCTACCACTAGACCACGGGTGCGGTCCCACTATTTTAAATGGACTTGTCGCGCTACGATCGCCATTTGGAACGGGGACCCAACCCGCTATCTATTAACACAATTTCGACACATTTGATCTGCTCAGTCCTCATGTGTATTCAGACAGCATCTACTTCTGTCGCTGTTACTAGAAGACAATGTCAGTGGATGAATCACTCACCTCACTGAGGTAGTCACAGTCCTTAGTGTAGACCTTGATGAGTTTAGACAGTTTGTCTACGTCCTCATCTAGACAGCTACACAACAGAAGATTCACATCTTCCTGAAAAACAAACATGTACACCTATATGTATCTCAACATTAAAAACTAACGTTGGACATTTCTCTGATCATTATTTATGTATTGTTCATGACCGAAGCATTAGATCGCTTTGGGGAATATTATTCCACTTTTTAAGGCAGGCGATCTTTGCCATACAAGCCGACCTTTCTCCATTTAATTTAATATACATGTAGCTCTAAATATATTCATAGGTGATGTGATAAAGCTCTTATCAAGACACGTCATACTTTGATTTTAATGAAGGTTGTTTGAACAATAAAAACTTGTGAACGTTAAAACCTTTAATTTCAAATTCTCGCTAGTAATGTGTTCTTTTCACGCTTTCCCGTCATTTTCCTTTCCCACTTTGGTTTGAGGGAAAGACATTAGGACGTGTAACTTTCCTGACAGCAATACAAATTGGCATCGAGCTACCTACTTTTCTAGATAACTGGTTTGTTGCGTAAACAGTTAGAGGACTGATTGATCTGTAAAGCCATATATAGCCCATATCAGTAGCCGGAGCATTATTATCTATTTCCAGTAATCAATATATGTACATGATCACGGTACTTTTGCCTTTGCGCATTCACAATCGTGGCTAGTTATATGATTCATTATCATGTAAGAATATTTAACAATATGGGAGATTTGTCCCCAATATAGATGCTCGTGGTGAGCTTGGACGTTATTCGCTTAAAGTCAATCAACATGTTCGTATTGTCAAATATTGGCTCCGACTTGTTTCTAAAAAAACTATTATAATCCTTAGCCATGCTTATTCATATCAATACAATCTGGCAGAAAAAGGAATAAATTGCTGGGTACTAAGAGTAAAACAACTTCTTTATTCATATGGTTTTGGCCATGTTTGGAATAGTCAAGGAGTAAATCATATAGGTATTATTGATAACTTTAAAACAAGATGTATTGATATAGATAGCCAACAGTGGTCTAGCAGTTTAAGAACTTACTCAGAACTTTCTTTTTATTCCTGTATTAAGCAGTTTAATGTATTTGAAAATTATCTAGAATGCATTCCTGTAAGTGCCTATCGTATTGCTTGGAGTAAATGTAGATGCTCTGGTCATACCTTGCTAATTGAAAATGGAAAGAAGTACAATATGTCCATTTTGTGTAAGACCTGAAGTGGAATCTGAATATTATTTTTGTTTACAATGTCCATACTATGACAGTTTGAGACGTAAGGTTCTACCTTATTATTTTTACACAAATGTAACTTTTGATAAATTTGTAACACTCTGTACATCTTAAACCCCATGAATAATCAATGCTTTAGCTAAATTTATATTTCTTGCTTTTAAAAGGCGTAATACCTTTCTCATTGGCGCTGAAATTGTCTAACTCTGTATTGTATAATGGGCCGGTGGCCCCTTTCATGAAATAAAGCTCTCTCTCTATAATAAAACGATATCAGAGACGTTAATTGCGTTGACAAGCAAATTATGTCATGTTCTCTTTGGTTCGAAACACCCGCTGTTTCACTACAGTAACGTTGAGACGTTTCTGGTTAGCGGATAAGGTTAGAAGATGATATACGTGGTTACTTCCTTTTGCCCGACTTTTTACGTTCATGTTTGTTTGTTTGTTGTTTAACGCCGCACTCGGCAAAATTCCATCTATATGACGGTGGTCTGTAAATAATCGAGTCTGGAACAGACAATCCAGTGATTGACATCACGAGGATCGATCCACGCAATTGGGATACGATGACATGCATCAACCAAGTCAGTGAGCCTGACCACCCGATCCCGTTAGTCACCTCTTACGACAAGCATAGTCGCAATTTACGGCAAGCATGGGTTGCTGAAGACCTCTTTATGACCTGCAGTCATAAGGTAGCGAGGTTGAAATTTAAAACTCATTTCAACTTGGAATAAATTCATAAACTATATCAGTTATATAAAGTTATTGAACGTCATTGTCAGCAAGGTTTCAATGAACAGGAAATGAATGCCTTTTCAGAGGATCTTTAACAATGTTTAGGTACGTTAATGTCACAAAGTGCTTGTTGAAGCTTGAAACCCTTCAAGAGATTCTTGAGAATTATATTAAACACGCCATGCGCGTGGTGCTGATCACATTTAAATCGATTTAGAAATGCTTCAAAGGCAGTGTGTAAGACAATAAATTTAATCATTCGAATCTGTTAAACACGATGAAATTTCCAACGTAAAAAAACCCCATTTTGACACAAGAGCTTGAAGGCATTCCTTGTTTATGTCTTAACCAATTATGATACGTTCAACAGCTTTGATGTCAGGAGGGAAAGAAATGTGATCAAAACGAAATTTTAAGGAAATTGTGAAAATGTGAAAACTTAATATAAAAAGAAATGTGAAAAGTGACAAGGGCCGTTTTATCAAAGAGTAGGTGGGACGGAAATGGCTGACGCTTGTTTTCTTAGATATCTAGAGTGAGTGAGTGAGTGAGTATGGTTTAACGCCGCTTTTAGCAATATTCCAGCAATATCACGGCGGGGGACACCAGAAATGGGCTTCACACATTGTATCCATGTAGGGATTCGAACCCGGGTCTTCGGCGTGACGAGCGAACGCTTTAACCACTAGGCTACCCGACCGCCCCTTAGATATCTAGACTATCTGTAGGCGTTTCATGGTCACGTTCTTTTTTTCATTGAATTGAAGCCGAAAACATGTAGGAAATTATATGTCATACTCACAAAACAATCAGTCATGTTGAAATAGTAGAAATGTACCTGGTAGAGTTAAGGAAAAGCAACAGTAGACATAAAAGTAAGTTAATTCTTAATGTCATTTTATCAAATGAGTGAGTGAGTGAGTGAGTATGGTTTTACGCCGCTTTTAGCAATATTCCAGCAATATCACGGCGGGGGACACCAGAAATGGGCTTCACACATTGTACCCATGTCAGGAATCGAACCCGGGTCTTCGGCGTGACGAGCGAACATTTTATCAAAAAGTTCTTTTCGCGAACACCTGCTGGTATCATCACTGATTTTCAGTGATCCATTTATATAATGTTCACCGCTATTGTGTCTTGTTACGCCAATGGATAATCAAGACTGGTTATTCTCTGGCGTTGTCGTTATATACTTAAGAATCTGAGGTAAGTGAGTTGGTATTCACATCGCTTTTAACAGTTTTCCAGTTGTATCAAGGCATGCCAGCTTAATGTGGGAGGAATGTCCGAAATAATGTAGGTCTCAGACGTTTACCACTTTGGTAAAACCCACTGACACGCGTATGGTGCTGAAAAACCTGGAAACATTCTGGCATGCCTAAGGGACGCAACTCGACACGACTTCGGCACCTGGCCCCCATCTCTGCCACCACACGAATATGGTTGGTAGGTGAAATGTCGATAGTGCCTTACGAGCTAAATAGTCATGTTGGCAATGCAGAATTATTTGTACATATGTTCAGCGAAAGAGTTAAAGATTGTTCGTTTCAAGATTGGCATGCATCTCTAGGCAGCAAGACCCTCTCATTCTATAAACTGCATAAATCTACTATCGTTTGTGAAAAATATTTATCAAATATAAAGCATTGTGAATATAGAAGGCTAATAACCAAATTTAGATGTGGACAGAATACTCTTGGTATTCAACTTATACGTAGGGGTGTTGCTAATATTGAGGAGGATGCCGTCTTATGTAAACACTGTCATGTAATTGAGGATGAACTTCATGTTATATACAACTGTCCTCTTTATGCAAGTCGGCGGGAAATGTATATCCCAAAGACAGTTAATCATAACTATTTTTGTTTAGAAAGACTCTGTCAAGTATCCAACAACGACGCAATGATAAATTTTGCAAAATTTCTAATGTACGTGTTCTCAACACACACACACACACACACACACACACACACACACACACACACACACACACACACACACACACACACACAAGTATCAATTAGGTAACTCTTAGATAAATAAAATGTAGATGCATTTTGTACAATGGGTCAAATGGCCTTATACAAATAAATCTGTCTGTCTGTCTGTCAATCTGTAAATGGTCATGTGTTCAATGAGATCGTGTACACGAACTTTTAACTCGTAAATCAAGTATGTATATATGGCACTGTGAACAAAATTGAATGACAAGGTAATTGTGAAATACCTATTTCTGCCGGTTTGTGCAAGAGGTCGGATCAATTATTTCACATCTGCTTAGTATGGCAGCTCGGGTTGTATACTCCCCAGGGAGCTGAGAATGAATATCGCGTGCACTATTAAGATTCCAGTTCCGCTTATGATGTGATTATTATGATTTTTAGACATATTTTTATAATGAATGGTATACATGTATGTCACTAGCAGAGGGCCCGGCATTTTACGAGCTGAAAGGGCTTCACACCACGGGACTATTCCCGTTGAAAAATGTTTGTTTTTACAATATTATATCTGTCTTACGTCCTCTTGATGGTTCGGTATGGTAACACAAAATGTGAAATGGATTATATCGTGAAAGCAGATGACGTCATATGAAACATGATGACGTATTGATGTCTGTGCAAGTCACAGGAGACACACACAATGACACACGTGCATGCACGTCGCTATAGAAGTGATATAACCTTGAACGCGACGTTTAACTAAATGTAACCTCACCTCCCTCTGAATGGCAAGTATGAAGTTTTAATGAATTTTGTCGTGTATTGTATCGCGACCTAGCTTTCCACATAGGTGTCGTATAGCGAACACGCGAATCTTAGCAAACCTGACGGGGAGTAGTGCATCAGGGTTAATCTTCAAGAATCTGATAAACATTTCATGTCACTTAATGTTATCGTGACCGAAGTGTAACCATGAGATCTCTCGGTGACATTTGCAATTCGATATAGCTCAGAGAGAAACAAGATTATATGGTTATCTGCCTTTTTTGTAGTATTTTACAAACGCAAACAATGCTAGCTTGTCACATGGATGTTCTCGAATTAAAAAGTTGAGTACAAAAGGACTAGAATATTGATTGTACGAGTAATAGGTGATGATGGCGAACATCTGCTGTTTCCAGTGATGAATCCATTCATTCAAAAAGCCATTAAGAGTATGATCTGTATTAAAATAGAGGATATACATCGTGTACGGGCATAAGAGAATTTAATTTACGCCACTCCCCTCCCATATCATGCTAACACGCCTTGACGCTACTCAAATACCGTTCATAGTGCTGTGAAACCAAGTCTCATCAACAAAGGATACATTAAATCTTGCACCCCTCTCTTGTGTGATGGTGACTACGACTGGGCGATCATCCATGTACAGCGTGCTGTTGATGTGTAGACACCGGCTCAACATGCGCTTGCACAGCTGCCAGATAAAACAAATTAAAGATCAAATAATAAACAAGTTCAGGGTTGCAAATTACTTTCGACTGATTACCAAAAACAAATTGTTTTGATTCATGGATTGGACATATGTTTGTTACAATAAATGCTTTTTATTTCGTAATCATTCGAAAATGGTTTTATTCCTTGGGATAAACATATTCTTGTAGGGGGCCCTTTTCAGTGGAATATTACATATACTGCGTACAACCACTAGGCCGTAGCGTTATCTTTTCTGTGAGACATGGAGTAACTGTTTGTTAAACTATTGAAAATGCATGGTGAATATATCTATCCATGAACCAGGCAGGAACTATTTGTGAAACTATTGAAAATGCATGGTGAATAGATCTATCAATGAACCAGGCAGGAACTATTTGTGAAACTATTAAAAAATGCATGGTGAATAGATCTATTCATAAACCAGGCAGAAACTCTTTTTGAAACTTTTGAAAGTGCATGGTGAATAGATCTATCCATGAACCAGGCAGAAACTCATTGTGAAACTATTGAAAGTGCATGGTGAATAGATCTTACCATGAACGATTTAGCACTCACTCTCTCCTATAGAATTACATGCTTACCAATTTGATATGTTTTCTCCTTTTCCATCGGACAATATATACACCCGATATAAGAATCAGAGGAAAGACGAACACGGTCAACCGTACGGACAAGATATCTGAAAAGACAAAACAAATATGATATGTTCATAGTGGTCATTTGTATCATTACTCGCTGAACCCATGAGTTGTTGGTTTGTTGTTTAACGCCGCACTCAGCAATATCGTTCTACGCAATTGTGATACGGTGACGTGCATCAAAGAAGTCAGCGAGCCTGACCACCCGGTTCCGTTAGTCACCTCTCACGTCAAGCATGAGTTGCTGAAGTTCCAAGCAAACCCGGATCTTCACGAGTACGACCCTCATTTGTGGAATCGATCCCGGGTGTTCGGTGTGACGAACGAACGCTCTAACCACAAGGCTACCCCACCGCTGTATTCGTTATAAAGATGTCATCACAAAGCATTCTTTAATATTTCATAAGGTTGAATAAATGAGACCCATGATGTACAAGAGACAGTCAAGATTAAGGAGGATATTGTATAGTTCCTCCAAGGTTGACCATATCAATAAGTATGCACTCTAAAGTAAATACGCGTCTTATTTAAGGAGACTGTGTCCATGTTCCAAATATCCCCAAGCGTACACGAATCTCGAGGGCGGAAACTCCACGCGTCCATGATGAAGAGTGATATCCTATTATGCTGCTCTCAATGGAGTTGCAAGACCACACAATGGAACACGTGCATGGGTCATATCTCACAGAATAAATCCGCCTCGACATGATGTTTGCTCCTTGGTGTATTCTTGCGAGGGGACTTATTTTTGTAATAAAGAGCCGAGACTAAATTCTCCATTAGCGGGAAACACTCCATCAACCCGATGGGGAGTATTCTGTAAGCTGAAGTTTTAGAAAGACAGTGGAAAATGTTTTGGCTGCAGAAAGTCACTTTCGTTTATTTCCTTCGAATTGAGGCACTCCACGGGGACGATGTTTAACATAACTTTCTTGAGGTTTTGCTGCGAAATAAACTGATTAAAATGAAAATGCATTTTATCCGTTTAGATAGTGTTCTCCTACGGGGATCCCCGATAAAGTGAGTACACTTGTTGGAAAAAATACTTAGGGTGTGATCCAGGGTAGAATAGGTCTTCAGCATCCCATGCTTGCCGTACAAGGCGACTATGATTGTCGTAAAAGGCTCGGATGGTCAGGCTCGCTGATTTGGTTGATGCATGTCATCGATCCAAATTACGTGGATCGATGCTCATGATGTCAGTCACTGGATTGTCTGGTCCAGACTTGATTATTTAATTAGAAACTTTAACAAACATGTACATGCAGAAATTTCAACAAATATGCTCATGCAGAAGCTTCAACAAACATGTACATGTAGAAACTTCAACAAACATGTACATGCAGAAACTGCAACAAACATGTACATGTAGAAACTTCAACAAACATGTACATGCAGAAACTGCAACAAATATGCTCATGCAGAAACTGCAACAAACTTGTACATGCAGAAACTGCAACCAACATGTACATGCAGAACTTCAATAAACACGTGCATGCAGAAACTTCAAGAAACATGTACATGCAGAAACTGTAACAAACATGTACATGTTGAAACTCAACCAACATGTACATGTAGAACTTTAACAAACACGTGCATGCAGAAACTTCAACAAACATGAACATGCAGAAACTTCAACAAACATGTACATGCAGAACTTCAACAAACACGTGCATGCAGAAACTTCAACAAACATGTACATGTAGAAACTTCAACAAACAAGCAAACAATGAAGTACACAAACAGAGTGAGTAAGTGAGTTGTTTGTGAGGCCACTTTCAATGAACAGTATTTCAGTTATATCAAAACGTACTTGAAGTAAGGTGAACAGGAGAGCGAACGTCGTTGGTTCGATCACCTGCCTGCGTCAAAACAGGAAACGTTAAATGAGGGTACTTGTTGTTACTTTGCCTGGCACTCGGTATTTATAAAATAAAAAAACAAGGACTGGATCCTCGGAGTCAGTAAACTGTGTTTACGTGGGGCACCAACGTTACACTGCGGCATTGTATCTCAGTGGGCCAGCACAGGAAAACAAGCATCAGTCCTTACTAGTACAAACAGCCGCACACATACGTCAACGCACGTCGCAAAACAAATGAAATAATCTTGAACACATTAATATAAGAATAGCGTCTAACAAAAAGTACACATGTACCAGACAATCCAGTGATTGGCATCATGAGCATCGGGCTTCGCAATTGGGATACAATGACATGAATCGAACAAGTAACGGAACATGACCAACCGATTCCGTTAGCTTTTGCCGACAAGCATGGGATGCTGAAGCTTAATTCTTACCCGGATCTTCGCAGGGAATGTATTAAGAGTGAGTGAGTTTTAAGCTGCTTTGAACAGTATACCTATTATAATACTATCATCTTATTGCGGACATGTATGATTTAAAAGTGAATACAACGAAACCTCGATAATCCAGATCCCCGTTAATTAGGAGAGCCCGCATTACTTTGTATTCACGATACGATGACCCGAAATCTGGATTATCCGGGCGATTTCACTGGGAACGATACCGTCCGGATAAACAAGGTTCGTGGCATTTGTATAATCACGCGGTTTCATCCCTACTGCATGAATTGGCGATGAAAATAAGAATTGTATACTTTGTATTGGATATCAATTAAATATGCTGGAAAACGCACATTTTGTCGGAGAACTATGCCTCCAGCTGCACCCCCGTTTGAAAACCTGCAGTGGTGGGAGACACAAACCGAATGGTATTATCAATGTCCAAAATTGCACCTCCACAAATTTCATTTATTGCATTTACCTCGCAGGGTTAGAACGTTGACAATGGGTCTCTGATGTCTAATTCATACTCAAATTTCGAAATCACTGGTCAGACGGGTCACAATTGTGTCCCATATATTGATCTCCTGGGAATAATGCCAGGGTATTTGAAGAATGTCTGAATCATTATTAGATTTACCGATGCTAGGACCATTATAAAGAAATAACTCGTAAAGTAAACATATAAATATCCAAGGACATAATCCCATCTCAGTTGGAAACGACATATAAATTTCAGCTATTTTACGATCGTTATCACGCAAATGTTTTCAGACTGCTGTGTGAAAATAGTTGCGTGAGTACAAAGGAATAACCTTCTCCTTACCGATCATGGCTTGTTTGGTAATGATACCCTATTGTTCCTACATGTAAGTTAATTCTAAAGGGAAATAGATTGGAACATCGAGTCTTGGTTCGCACTGATTATGATCCTCAGATTGTGATTACTATAGCCGTGCTCGTTGGTTTCACTAAAGCGACCCTCATCAATTGGGCTGTCATTCCACATTAAGGTTACATGCTAGGGTAAAAGTGATAACAGTTTAACAAATTCTTATAATGACTCAGTCAATGCAACTGTAATACTTATCCATATACATGACTGATCCCCTATACAGATTGATGTGGAAAGAGTGAGTGAGTGAGTGAGTGAGTGAGTGAGTGAGTGAGTGAGTGAGTGAGAGAACAATTTGCACGTCACACTGGTGAATATGAGAATGCTGCTGACAAATCAGTCATGATCGGGACGAATCCGGGATTCGGATCTAGCACCAACGGATCCTATCAGGATTACGGGACGCAACTCTGCAGATGACGTATAGTCGAAACTGCGGTAAACGAATTCTGGCCCGGTCCGCCGAACTACAAAGCCAATACCCAAAGAGTTTTAAAAAGAAAAAAAACATTGCTTCTGCTATGAGGGGAAGCGTCACCATGACGTATCGTCTCGGTTAGTGTCAACAAAAGTATAAATGTGTTACAATAAGAATTTAAACAGAAACGTTCATTTTCTTCTTTTGATGGCGGCGTCATCATGACGTTCCGGCTGTGATAGAAGATAGAACTATGACAATTAGAGTTTTATACAGAAGCGTTGCTTCTTCTATTGAGGAAAGCGTCACCATGACGTACCAGCTGTTTTAGTGTCTGCAAAGATACAACGATGTTATAATTACATGTTTGAACACAAATGCTGTTTCTCCTGTAACAGAAAGCGTCACCATGACGTACCGGCCCTGTTAGTGTCAACAAAGACGACGATGACGAGGATGAAGGCGAGAGTCCACACTCCGAAGGCAGAGAGGAGGACGATGGCTGGCTGCAGTGTGAACACCCACGGGGCCTGCGTCGATCCCTGGTTCACCTGGCTGATGCTCTGGAGCATGTCCCAATACTCGCTCTGGTCCAGCTGAAACACACGGTTTCCATCTGATGTTATTGACAGCTTCAGACATTTATTAGTCCTTTTAAACAAAAAAAAGATAGTATATCAACCATTGGATTTTGTAATATTTTCGAAACTCAAAATTGACATCTTTTGAAAATGACTCTTATGCTCCGTGAGTCTGGTGAGCTAACTGCAACCAATCTTTTCCACAGAATCAACTTGATAAATTAAATGACATTATTTCTGTCACTCTCAGTGCGGACTGTTCTTTGCATGACATAAACTGTTGCGTCAATGCTGCTGCCCGAACACTGGAGGAACTACATACAGTTTCCAAAGACATTGAACCACAAAAGAGTAATAAACAAAATCATCAAAAGAAAGACCGATTTATAATCAAATTAAACTAAATGATACAAAGAAAGATATATCCAGGATAGAACTTTGCTTAAAGTTTCGTTCCTCAGGGCAATCAATGTCAAAAGGCCAAAAATCAATTTGGAAAAAAAATAAAAACAAAAAAAAGGTGTGAGTGAGTGAGTGAGTGAGTGAGTGAGTGAGTGAGTGAGTGAGTGAGCGAGTAAAAAAGTGTGGCTGATGCTCTGGAGCATTACCTAACTCTCGCTCTGGTCCAGCTGAAACACACGGGACAGTGAGTGAGTGAGTGAGTGAGTAAAAAAGTGTGGCTGATGCTCTGGAGCATGACCTAATACTCGCTCTGATCCAGATTAAACACACGGGACATTGAGTGAGTGAGTGAGTGAGTAAAGGTGTGGCTGATTCTCTGGAGTATGACATAACCCTGGCTCTGGTCCAGCTGAAACACACGGGACATTGAGTGAGTGAGTGAGTGAGTAAAGGTGTGGCTGATGCTCTGGAGTATGACATAACCCTCGCTCTGGTCCAGCTGAAACACACGGGACAGTGAGTGAGTAAGAGAGAGAGAGAGAGAGAGAGAGAGAGAGAGACAGACAGACATACAGACAGACAGACAGACAGAGAGACAGAGAGAGACAGAGAGAGTGGGAGAGAGAGAAGGTTTTTTTCAGTGAAAAGGTGGGTTAGGTGGGTGAGTGTACATGTACGAATACCGAGGTGAGTGAGAGTGCGGGTAGGTGAGTATCCGTGTGTGTGTGTGTGTGTGTGTGTGTGTGTGTGTGTGTGTGTGTGTGTGTGTGTGTCCCAGCAAGATCACGGCGGGGGACACCAGAAATGAGCTTCACACATTGTACCCATGTGGGGAATCAAACCCGGGTCTCCGGTGTGACGAGCGAACGCTTTAACAACTAGGCTACCCCGCCGCCGTGTGTGATGAAGTAAGCATGTTAGAGAGAGTGATTGAGCGACTCTGGAAATAATACCGATTTCAGTCGGCACGGGGTAATACGTCTCTACTAACCAGAAAACAATATCTAAAATACCCATCGAGTCTAATAGCTAGTCGAATAAGGAATAGCTATAAAACATTCTCCAGCAAGTTCTCAAGTAAGACTCTATACTTCGTAGACGTCCAGGATAACAAATCATGCGTCAGTGTAACATTGTATCCAGTTCAAGGAGAAAGTCGAACGACAAAAATAACAATAATGACAATGACAGCAGGTGTACCAATATGATTACGCAGGGGCGATGTCCTCTGGCACTATCGCACATGACACTCATCTCAACACACGGTGGAAACAAGCCTCACTCCTGTTTCACCAGGGGCCAGGAATAAAGTTAATTGGGACAAGGCTTTAAATACAAATTCATGTCAGATGGTGTTTTTTGAGCGATTACGGGCATGTTGATCGTTTATGCTGCTTTTTTTTATAATCCAACGTGTGCTGTCGTATATTTCACATTTCTTTTCTTATAAAATTATGAATTATGTTATTGTTTTTGTATATATTGGTAGACCATTGATACGTTCTTGTGTATTCCCTTATCATTCAAAGGCCGATTTCTCACGCGCGCTTTTACATTATTTTTGACCTGGTTGATGGACCATAGTGCACTCGATTTTTTTCTCAGCTCCCTGGGGAGTATACAAGCCGGACTTCATGTGAGGATCCTCAGCCTACCGGTACCCCATTTACTGCTGGGTGATAGAGGCACATGTCGAACAATGTCACTTGCCTGAGACACCACACGTGCCACGGGTGCTTCGGTGTGGGGCTAGACCAAAGCCGTAAATACTCCCAGGAGTCGACCCGTGAAGATCCGGGGTAGAATAGGTCTTCAGCAGGCCATGCTTGCCGCAAAAGGCGACTATGCTTGTCGTAAGAGGCGACTAACGGGATCGGGGGGTCAGTCTCACTGACTTGGTTGATGTATGTCATCGTATCCCAGTTGTGTGGAGCCGAAGACCCGGGTTCGATTCCCAACATGGGTACATTGTGTGAAGCCCATTTCTGGTGTCCCCCGCAGAGATATTGCTGGAATATTGCTAAACACGGCGTAAAACCATACTCACTCACTCACTCACTCACTCAACACTTAGTTGATGCAGGTCATCGTATCCCAATTGTGTGGATCGATGCTCATGATATCAACCACTGGATTGTCTGGTCCAGACTCGATTATTTACAGACCGCCGTCATATTGCTGGAATATTGCTGAGCGCGGCGTTTAACAACAAACCAACCAACCACAACAACTATCTGGAGTCTGCTGAACACAGTCACCCATCCCGCTACTCTCCGCCACCGACGGCGCTCAACTTCGCCTGAGTTGCGATCTGTGAGGACATCACACATTGTACCCTGTCATCTACAGTGTAACGACTTCTGGCAGACCTTAAGAATATCAAACAAGTAAATGCTGTTTTTCTCCGCAGGCAGCAGGAATTCAGCGGCCTGTAAATATTCAGTGGCTGAAAGCATGAACAACGATCTCCGCCAGTGGGGCAGGGTGACACAAATTCAGCAAAACTCACAGATCTCCACCACCTGATCCATTTTAATCACCTCTTACGATAAGCCTGGGTTAAAAGGACAAATTCTACCTTGGAATTAATACAAGAAAAAAATGCAAAATACAACAACGAATGGTTGAATCTTCCACAGCAGTACAGTACATGTACAGCATTTGAAATTGCCGAAGCAGAAGAGGCTCTCTACTTGTCGTTCGACGATCCTTATACCCAATAAACAGCTACAGAAGCTAATTACATTAAAGGTCGTGAAAATTGTTTAGAATTAGTTCCGCTTACGCAGAACCATCTAGTTCCTCATGGGAATTCTTGTGCCAAATCATGTAACCAATTACATGTCGTTTCTAACGCTTGTCGGTAACTGATAAAAGAGCACACTTTTTGGTGAAGGATGAACGCAAATGGTAAGAACTGTTAAGTGCAACGTGTGCTGATACCGCCTCTCCAGCCAGAATGTCATGTTGGATTATGAGAGAACACCCGAGGCATCAGCGCGAGTACGCAGCGGCCAGCTTAATGACAGTGGAAGAACCACAGACGATGTGTTTCCAGATTGAACACCCACGGGCGGTCCCGCTTCTTTGGGAACTGGCACTGACGTTTTAGTGCGTTCAATTCATCAAAGCTATCGTTATCGAGAGTAATGACTAATATGGATAGAGTGGGTAGTGTGGATAGAGTGGAAAGTGTGGATAGAGCGGATAGAGTGGATAGTGTGGATAGAGTGGACAGTGTGGATAGTGTGGATAGAGTGGACAGTGGGGATAGTGTGGATAGTGTGGATAGAGTTGATAGTGCGGATAGTGTGGATAGTGTGGATAGAGTGGATAGAGTGGATAGAGTGAATAGAGTGGATAGTTGGATAGAGTGGACAGTGGGGATAGTGTGGATAGTGTGGATAGAGTGGACAGTGGGGATAGTGTGGATAGAGTTGATAGTGCGGATAGTGTGGATAGTGCGGATAGTGTGGATAGTGTGTATAGAGCGGATAGTTGGATAGAGTGGATATAGTAGATAGTGTGGGTAGAGTAGATAGTGTGGATAGAGTGAATAGTGTGGATAGAGTGAATAGTGTGGATAGCGTGGATAGAGTGGATAGAGTGAATAGTGTGGATAGAGTGGATAGTGTGGATAGAGTGGACAGTGAGGATAGAGTGAATAGTGTGGATAGAGCGGATGGTGTGGATGGTGTGGATAGCGTGGATAGAGCGGATAGTTGGATAGAGTGGATATAGTAGATAGTGTGGGTAGAGTAGATAGTTTGGATAGAGTGAATAGTGTGGATAGAGTGAATAGTGTGGATAGCGTGGATAGAGTGGATAGAGTGAATAGTGTGGATAGAGTGGATAGTGTGGATAGTGTGGATAGAGTGGACAGTGTGGATAGTGGATAGTGTGGATAGTGTGGATGGTGAACAGTACTTAAGTTATAGTCACGTTGTTAGCTTACTGTGAGAGGAAAGTCAAAGGTGACAATTTTTGTAGATGTTTATCATTGCTAGATCAAGGGTCATTCTCAGGGTGAGTTTTGGATTCGAATCCCCGATAAACCGATGCTTGTGTTTGTTTGTTTGTTGTTTAACGTCGCATTTCGCAGTATTCCAACTATATGACGGTGGCCTGGTCTGGACCAGACAATCCAGTGACTGATATCATAGGCATCGATCTACGTAATTGGGATACGATGACATGCATCAACTAGGTCAGCGAGCATGACACCTGGTCCCGTTAGTCGCCTCTTACGACAAGCGTAGTCGCTTTTTACGGCAAGCATGGGTTGCTGAAAACCAATTCTAACCCGGATCTTCACGGGTACAGAAGGGGAACATGCATGGATCAAACTCACATTTATACCATGACATCGGAGCGGGGCAGGGATATCTTCATCCTTTTCATCAATCATGAGATGAGCCTGCAGATAGCCCCGGATCTCAAACTGGACCGACGCCAACACCTGACCATTGACCAGATCTGTTACAAGAGAAAGATGGTCATCACAAGAGTGAGGCAGTTTTATGAACTGCCGGGCAAAAGAAAATATACACTTGATGTTGGACTTGACTAAAACATTACAAAACGTTACTAGGCTGAAAACAGTCGCCAAACCAATGCAGACTTAAAGACCAATACACAAACCCTGATACCCGTATCCAATATATCACCAATAAAAAATTATTTATTTTTTTCGTTTTTAGCCATCATCCAATATGTTGTATACTTTGCTTCGTCATACAGTTTATATGACTGATGAGTTTTATCTTGCCTTGCATTAACATACTCGTTTGTGAATGGTTGTGATTTTTTCCCTTTATCCCGCTGTCAGATAAGGTACAAATTTTATATACAGTAAACTACGGTTATAACGAATTCGAACTTCGTTATAACCGTAGTTCGTTTTAAGCATATACACAGCATAACTACATCAAATTGTCGGGACCAAAAAAGTTCGTTATATCAGTCAGTTCGTTATAAGCATGTTCGTTATAACCGTAATTTACTGTACTTGGAAATGCCGAATATCTTTGAATTCCAAAGCCATCAATATGGTATGTTTATATCTCTAAACTGAGTACCTATCAAATGGAGTTTAGCAAACTCAACCGATCACTTCTGATTGTTACAAATTTTGATTCACTTAATCATCTTCATCATACCGGCTACCTCATCAAGGGGCAATTGGGTAGCCTAGTGGTTAAAGCGTTCGCTCGTCACGCCGAAGACCCGGTTCGATTCCCCACAAGGGTACAATGTGTGGAGCCCTTTTCTGGTGTCCCCCGTCATGATAATGCTCGAATATTGCTAAAAGCGGGGTAAAACTATACGCATCGACTACCTCTCCAAGCTTATATAATGTTAAAATGACTTTACGATGCGAGTAGAAGTTGGGTTACTTAGATAAATATAAATATGCTTTCCGTTGAGGCTTCGGACTGGAGTGATTACAAGAACTCGATGATGTTACGGAGTATTCTCTGTGATGTCCTAACAACGTGGCAATTTCAGCGACGACTTTCAGATAATCTCTGTCTGGCATATTTCAGTGGAATCAGCCTCCAAGTATAATAACTATAGTCAATACAAATCTCTTCTCACATGGAATGCTAATCTACTGCGGACGTTCCGCAGCATACAACGTAGTGTATTTCAAAGTTTAGACGTAACATTGTTACATCGTTTAAATGTGGAGATTAGAAGACACAGAACCATGCCTAAATGAGGACTGCCAACAACGAAACCCCAGATTTGTTGAAAATAAAACAAACCCACACGAATAATAATGTGAATATGCAAAAATATTCCAGTAAATACCCTTTTTAAATACCCACAGTCTTTATCAGCTTTCCCACGATGACAAATCTATACGGTTAATGCAACATGAAGACAGGTTTATCCTTCATAACATTGGTATATTCATATCTGAGGCTTGTAAATTATGAAATAATTCTTCTTAAACTATAAATACTTTACTCAAATATGCACGACGTATTTTTGCTATTAAAGTATTTTGGGCGGTCACCTATTAACTGAATAAAATGTGCGTCTGTAATGCAAGGGCGACAATTCTGGATGTGTTTACGTTGACTGCTAGCTGTCAAGGTGTCCGTGTAACGGTTCATGATCAGCAGCAATACTGATGAAGACATTTTAGATAACCGGTCTCGGGGGTACAATGTGTGATGTACACCGAGAGAAGCTGAAGCGATGTTAGTTACGGCTTCGGTGAAACCTACGAACACGGGTACGGTGCTGACAAACCTAAAAACATAATCAGGGCAAATCGGGTTGGAACCCATAATCGTTGTTTTCTTGCACGCCTACGCGACGCTACTCTGCACAGGGAATTGCAGCATCATACATGAGCAGTGCCTCTCTCGGTCACCCATGCCTCACTAAAACTAACACCCGTCTGAATGTGACTGTCTGTTTGTCCTGTGTCATCTCAAATGAGTGAGTGAGTTGTGTTTAACGCTGCTTTTAACAGTATTCCAGTTATATCGCGGCGTGTCAGCTTAATATGTGAGGAAAGCCCGAAGTGATGCAGGTCTCAGACGTTTACCACTTCGGTGAAACCCACGAGCACGGGTATGGTGCTGACAAACCTAGAAACATAATCGGGGCGAACCGGGATTCGATCATAGGTTTCCGGCGTGCCCAAGGGACGCAACCATGCACAGCGACGACTGGGCCGCCCGTGTCATCTCTAAGTGTAGAAAACTAGAATTGAGGTAGTTTTGATATTCAACAGTTCGGTGCTGGCCATGGGTTTATGTACTCAAATATTTTCGACCATTTGGTGTCGGCTGAGAATCATTACACTGGGTACTTTCTACAGTTCGGTGCTGTGAGGTGAGGTGAAATGGGGTTTAAAGTCGCGTCCAAGATTATTGCACTTATATAGCGACGTGCATGTACGTGTGTGTAGCTGCTTGTACTAGTCCGGACTGATGCCGATATATAGTGCTGGCACACTTAGATACCATGCCGCAGTTTAACATGAATACCCCACTCATGATCAGACACAGTATACTGACTCTAGGCCGACCAGTCCTTGTTTTAGCCCCTTAATGCCGAGCGCAAGACAGGGTAACAACAAGTACCATATCCCCTTAGTCGCATTTTACGACAAGCATAGTCGCCTTTTAAGGCAAACATGGGTTGCTGAAGATCCTATTCTACCCCGGATCTTCACGGGTCCTTTTGGTATGACGCGACTGGGGATCGAACCCCGGAACTTCCGCTCTCCGGGCGGACGCTTCGGTGCTGTGCAAAGAACACAAGACATGTACATATATCGTTACCATTTAATTCAATTGTAACACGTGTATAAATAAATGACATCACTTCTGTAATTTTAATACATTAAACTGTTTCGTATTGTATTATACAGTTTACAATCAGTCTAAACTGGCCAGGTGGTTGACAGAGTCGAGGTAGTCCAGATTCGTCAGGTTTTGCTGTTGGAGTTTTTGAGGTCGGAGAGCCTCGGGTCCAGGTCCCTGTACTTCGTCCTCCACGGTGGAACACCACGGTGACCAAACACCAAACAACTACGGACTGCCCTCTCTTGATAACCGGCACATGTTCCAAGGTGGCACTGTTAGGATGGCACTTTCCGGAAATGTTGTCTAGTCTGTGATGCCAGCCCTCGACGTTAGTATTGGTCCGACAACCCTCGTTGATGTAGTCCATTAATCTTACAACTGAATCACCAGGATGACTACTCGTATCTGGAGACCAGCTCACCCAGACACCCTCTCCCTCTTGAGATGGAACCAAAGGCAGTGCAGCTGCACGTCTGGCGAGTCGATGAAAGTCTACATTGTCCTTGTATTCACGCATGGAACCTAGCTTCTGGACACGTCATGATCACCCATACCATGGGCAACATGAAAGAAACATCCTCGCACTTGTGAGTTTGAGAACAAAGTTCCTATGGCTTTGTGTGCGCCTTTCTCAAAGTCTAACTGGACATTGTCTGGGGAAAGGTTGAAGCTCCACTGATGTGCTGCGTCCTTGACCAGTTGAAAAGCATGAGTGTAGGTCTCCTCTGACCTATCTATGTTTATTTGGACCTTAATAATCTAGAGAGAAGAAAAATGTCGACGAAGCCATAAGTCCATTCGGGACCGCTAATTGTTTTTTTATCTCTTCTAATCCCTTCACATTGTCGTCAGTTTTAGATTTTATTAACGTAAGGAGGAGAAGAGAACACCGACGAGGCCATAAGTTAATTAGGTACCACTAATAGCTTTGTTAATCTCTTCTAATTCCTTCACTTTTTCGACAGATGGGCCCTGGGCAGTGATGCGCGAAACTGGCTTTTCGATAGTTCGGTACTGAATATTGCAATACTACAATTTCGTCTTTCGATAGTTCGGTCATACTATATAAATTATTTTCAACGTTTGTCAATGTGTGCGAGATAATTCATTCACACATTAAATATCAGGACAGCTTCGTAATGGTTTGACCGCATGAGTGACATTACATTATGTGAGACCATCTGTTCACACAATGCACACATATATCAATGCAACCTATAATCATGTATGTGTTTTTCCGCTTTTCCAGGAAAATAGAGTGAGGGCGTGTGTCAGCACATTTCCAATCAGAGTGTCCTTTGTACGTTTGGTGATGTATCATCGCGGAGTACCGACATATGATACCGTCGGGGTGCACAGCTGGGCCCCCAGAACAACGTATATGGCTCAACGTGTGTTAGCAGCGATAAGGCAATATTTAATACAATTCCCATTTATGTCATCAGAATGATGTATCATTGAATATTCATCATTGATAACCAAGTGTGTTATATTCTGGTATGATAAATGTCCTTGGCTTATTATCCTCCACAGCTTCGTTTAGGAAGTGATGTCATCGTCACCATCTGCCTTATCAGCTGTGGCGGGGTAGCCTAGTGGTTAAAGTGTTCGCTCGTTCACGCCGAAGGCCCGGGTTCGATTCACCAGATGGGTAAAATGTGTGAATCCAATTTCTTGCGTCCCTCGCTATGACATTGCTGGAATAGTACTAAGAACGGCGTAAAACCATATTCACTCACTTTTCACCCTCACTCACTCACTGGACACTCACTCATATACCTGCCTTATCAATAGCTTTGCACATATTTTCTCTCGTCTATGACTGTTATTTGATTGGACGGTTATTTATAGGATCGCGTATTTCGAATCGAGACTCAAAACGAAGATATGGCGTCGAATGGGTCCAACGTATTTAGAATAATAGCATATCCTTGACAACCGAGATGTTGAATATCAGGAACCCTTATCAAACGTTGAGCAGTGTTCAGTTAAATACTGTTAATTCGTATGGTACCATTCCCAGTGGACTCGCTCGCATTGACAAATTAAGGATTAACGAGTAATGGGTACATCGTAAGGATCGTTTTGTTGTGTATTTATGTATTTATGTAAATAATGGCCCGGATAACAGAGTATCCGGATAAAGCGGATCAGGATTAGAGAGGTTTTACTGTATTATAGGTGATATGCTATTGCCTTGTTGAGGTGTGGTAGGTGTGTGGTGGCTTAAGTTTGCATCACCGAACACCTCTCTATCTTGTTCAAGGCAATTTGAATGGAGTGAGGTATCGTGACGAGATTTTGCGCCCTCTTGTCCTACCACAGTTGAACAACATTGGTCCAGGAGCAATCCTGCAAGATGACAATGCCAGACCACATCGGGCTAGAGTCGTTAGAGACTTCCTGCAACAGAACAATGTGACTGTGATGCAGTGGCCAGCATATTCACCGGATTTGGCCCCAATTGAGCATCTTTGGGATGTTCTGGGACGTCGTGTCAGGGACAATCATGGAGTTGCACCAGCTCTTCAGGTTCTGGTTCAGTGGCCCCAAATGGAATGGCAGGCGATTCCACAGGCTACCCTTCGCACCCTTGCAAGACCCATGAGGCGGAGATGCACCGAATGCATCAATCAACGTGGAGGACACACTCGCTATTGACATTGTGATTTCCATTTTCCATATATACTGCCCCCTACTTTCTTATTCGACTTGTTCGTATGTGCTTTTCAATGACAGCTACCTGTAAATGTTTTTTTTTTTAAGCTTGATAATCTACAAATGCACAATTGTAATGATACGATCACATGTCATTAAATGTTTCTATAACAGAATATTTTGGTGTTCCCATAATTTTTGTGTAGTATATATACTGAACAGCATTGAAAACGCACCACCATGAAAATGGATGTATTTTTATCCGGGCTTAAGTCATATGAAAATATATAAGTGAATGAGTAATATACGACGTTCTGGACGGAGCATGAAGAAGAACAGCTCGTCAAAACACATTCCTATTTTTTTTGTGAGCGAAATCGCCAAAACGCAACAAATTGCGTGTACATCATGGAAAACGTGTTTTGTTTCACGGGAAGCATGCATAATAGGGCTATAAAAGACAGACTTTTAAAAGCCACATCACTTGTTGCTGCAGACGTAAAGGGTACTGACACAAGAAATGCCAAGATTTACAGCAGAGGAACGCAATTGGTATACGATTACATGCATCAACAAAGTCAGCGAGCCTGACCACCCGATCCCGTTAGTCGCCTCTTCCGACAAGCATAGTTGCCTTTTACGGCAAGCATGGGTTGCTGAAGACCTATTCCACCCCGGATCTTCACGTGTCCCAAGATATAGAGGATGAGTATAACTATTGATTTGTATGTCCACTGTATTCCACTGTGAGAAAAAATATATTCCTGTATACTACTTTAATGATCCAAATATTGTGAAATTCTGACAACTGTTGAACAATCTAGATACATTGATAACGCAAAACTCAGCCAAGTATATATTCCACACACTTATATATGGAACCAAATTTGTAAATAATAGTTAAAATTTGTGCAACACCTCTGTCATATATAATAAAGGCCTGTGTCCTCTTAAGTGCTTGAATAAAGATTGTTTGATTGATTGACATCATGAGCATCGATGCACATAATTGGGATACGATGACATGCATCAACCAAGTCAGCGAACCTAACCACCCGATCCCGTTAGTCGCTTCTTACGACAAAGCATAGCCGCCTTCTACGGCAAGCATGGGTTGCTGAAGATCTAAGTTTTGCATTGTGTAAAATCTGTAAATAATCCATCTGCAATAAATCTTATGTTTTTTGTTTGTTTGGTATTTAACACCGTGTTCAGCGGTATTCCCTCAATATGACGACGGCCTGAAATAATCGAGTCTGGACAAGACAAACCAGTGATTAATATTATGAGCACTGTCATGGTACGGTGCCACGCATTATGCGTTTATGATATATCTAACGTGGCATTAATAATGAGGTTGTTTAACGCCGCACTGAGCAATAATCCAGCTATATGATGACGGGACATAAAAAACCCGAGTCTGGACAGACAATCCAGTGATTGACATCATGAGTATATATCTATGCAGTTAGGATAAGATGACATGCATCAACCAAGTCAGCAAGCCTGACACCCGACGTCGCTAGGCGCATCTTACAACAAGCATGGGTTACTGAAGACCAATTCTAACCCGAATCTTCAGAGGTGAACAAGCATTAGTTGCTGAAGACCAATTCTAACCTGAATCTTCAAAGCGGAACAAGCATAGCAATTCTAATCCGGATTTTCACCGAATTACTTTTTCATGGAACATACACTTTGATTAAAGTCTTCAAAGGCTAGTCTAAAATAGGAAAAGATAGAAGTTGCCTCACTTGCCCTGGGGTTGAGGACCGCTGCAATGTCACTGCTGATTGATTCACTGCTGCGGGGGAGACGCCCTGAAAATGAGTGAGTAAGTTGATTTAACACATCTGAATAGCATTTCAATTATAGTTAGTTTGTTTTTAACGTCGCACTCAGCTATATTCAAGGTATATGAAGGCAACCAGTAAAACGAGTCCAGAAAAGACAACTGATTGACAGTATGAGAAACGTTGGACGCCGATTGTGCACGATAACATACAATCAACCAGGTTACATCTACAGCCTGACCACATGATCACTGCCTCATTGGACAGCAACCAGAAAGCATACATTTTAAAACTGGATTTGACCAAAAATACAAACGTTATCAAAACGTTACGAGGTTGTAAAGAGTCGCCGAAAAATTAAAACTTAACGTCCAAAACGCAACTATGGAACCCGTATCAAATTTATCACCTTCGAATAACCATTTCTTGTTTTCCTTTTTGATTTTAGCCATCAAACATGGATGCATACTCTTTTGCCCGGCAGTTTAGATTACTTGGGATCTATATACAATTCTAACCCAGAATCACCCCGGCTATATATATCAGTTATATCATAGAGTTTTACCTTGTAGGAGAAAATCCCAAAGCGATGCAAGACTTGGACCTTTGACAATCGGTGGAAGGTACGAGTAATGTATATAGTTTTTGCGTAGTTATAGTTTCAGAGATATTTTACATTTTGTCAATATTGCAGCAAAAGAGGCTGATTCAGTTTGTGAATTTGGTTTAATGCCCCTGAGAACAGTATTGAGAATAGTAAACGGCGTGTCGGCTAAAATAACAACGACATACGTGATGCAGGTCTCAGACGTGTGTCACTTATTTGCAACCCACGAGCACAACTATGGGCTGAAAATGTCAGAATTGTAATCAGAGCGTATCTGGATTCGAACGCGCGGTCAGATGATCAACGGGAAGCAATTCTGCACAGCAATCTATGCTTACACATATGTACAACTGGAAAAATGGTTGAGCGCCACCACTTGTTTCATATCCAGATCTTCAATATATTTTGTGGAAATATCGACATATAACATTGATCTCCTTCAGAAATATGTCTAAGGTACCACCGACACATTCTGAAACATTAGTACAAGGGCAGCGTATATTCCACATGGAAGTACGGAGTGTTGCTGTGTGATGGAAGGGGAATGGGATGCAGCCATGGAACACGTGCGCTACTTGTCATTTGATAATCGATTTCCGATTCAGTTTTCCGATATGAGTATGTTACTAAGTAAACAAAACAAATGTGTTTCTTCAGAGAATTGAAGGATTAGGACTGCTGAGATTGACATTCGGCCCCATGTCTGCAGCAAATGTCCGTAAAATTTCTCAAACTGGAATTACAAATTTCATTACTTCTACAATAAAACTTTTTAGATGTGACATCTTTTTAAAGTGATAAAAAGGCCAATAAATAGAAAGTCACGTTTAATGATTAGTTTTAATGAATTATTAAAATAAGAACAGTACGAACAATACCAATTTTGAACAAAATATAGATTCCTTTTCACATTTTGCCTGTGTGTTATTTGAGATTTACCGAGACACTTGATGTGGGAAGCAGATTAATCCTGTCTTCCCTGAAGGAACGGTAGATCTAAAAAGTCATATTTGCTGGAGTCATATTCGAGACATTTGCAAACTGAGATTTGGAATCTTACCGAAACCTTTTTTCTCCCATAGCTTGTGTTGTGTTTAAAGAACATGATTGCTTTTATCTGACAGAAATGAAAAACCAACGCCAAGGATGTCCTGCATTCACCAGATGGCACTACCTCAACGTCTTTAGAACGAAGAACTACAGCTTGAAATATTACATATGCTGGTCATGGTAAAAGCCGACCTCTCATCTATGTTATGGTCATTATACCTCTTACGCCCGTCGAGTCTCGATGCGTAGTTTATGTTAGTGGCACCGCCAGCGTTATTACAGACCCAAATGATGACGAGGTCTGTAATTACGTCATGCCAAGCACAAAGGATGCCTAAATTGACCTAATACGGAAACCGTCTGGTTGCCTGGTCGATGGCCTTTGATTCCAGAATGGCAGCCGATGGAGTTAATTTGGCTTCAAGTATGGATCTAAATATCCAAATTCAATATTTATTTATTCATAATAATTATACCTCTGGGAGTATTTCGTGTTATTGATTTCGTTCTCTGGACGCCATCTCGTGGTTCGTTTCAGTTTTCATTGTCCTAGATGGCTTGTAACAAGTGTGGTAACAGCAACGTCCAGAGTTGCGTACCATGAGTCAACTGCATTCGGGTCAATTCCGTTACTCGACCCGCGAAGATCAGGGTTAGAACAGGTCTTCAGCAACTTATGCTTGCCGTAAAAGGCGACTATGCTTGTAAGAGGCGACAAATGGTATCGGGCGGTCTGGCTCTCTGACTTGGTTGATGAATGTCATCGATCCCAATTGCGTGGATCGATGCTCGTGATATCAATCACTGGACTGTGTGGCCAGATTCGATTATTTACAGACAGCCGTCATATAGCAATGAAATAATGCTGAGTGCGGCGTTAAATAACAAACAAACATTACGTTACTTACTAAATGGCTCTGGCAGAAAGGGTAGGGGCTGGATTTCACCGTAAACCGCATACTGATCAGTCCCTTAATATATACCTCTTACAACATTGTGACCATGTTTGGGACAATGTTTTATTTGGTTAATAGAAGTTAGGTATACAATTTGATAAAAAGCGACATTTATGTACATGTAAGAGCCACGACTGCCGTCTGAATGTGTTATGTAATGTGATTGTCACGTGAACGAGTGAAACTTGTGATTCAGTTCCGATTTTGATTCCTCTCAATGGTCAAGATGACCTAAGACATTGAAGTGAGCAGACTGGTGAGGGATTTGAACCCCCAGCTCACCCATTTATTTTTCATGACTGGTAACATTAAACGGTAAACATCTACGACAATGATTACATCTGGCTGCCCTGCAACACTATTCTTGCACACCGTAATAAAACTGAGAAACGTAACATTTCCAGAATACGTTTTGAACAAATTGTCCTTGGAGACCCTCCCAATAGCTACGAGGTGGAATAAATATTCATTTGTAAAACCAAACAACACTCAAGCGGCAAGATTGTGGAAGAATCGAGCTTCCTCAAGGAATGGTTCGGAACTTTGGCTTCTCGTCTCGTAAATGTGTCTAATCAGCACTGTATCTTTGACAGGTCATTCGGTCAATGTGCAAACTTGGGAAAGTACTGTGATTGGGGTAAATGGAATGGAAACATCGATCGATTTGCTGTCACTATATTTGTATTGAGGAGACGTAGATATGTATGGAAACACCATAAACCACCGACCTATCATACGGTCAAATAACTTTTATTATATTTTCAAGTTTGGTCGGTGCTGATAAGAATAGATGGCGAATGTTCCACTTTGGCAAGTGGAAAGAAATACCTAAATAATGGTACATTACTTGACACGACGAACGTTACATTTGACGACACTGTTATATGTGTACGACGACAATGGAAAAACTGATAGGTGTAGTAATGTGGACCTGTGAACCGTTAGAGGTAATCATCAAGCTGTCATTTCAAGCGCTGCGTCTCATAACGAGGTTAACATATAGGGATATTTGGCAGCATCACGTTTTCTCCAAAACTAGGTCCTACCATGTAGTTCTTACACTTGTGTTACGTGCAGAGTAGAGAAGGGGAAATCCAGTGTGACGTATTGAGGTCACATGTTATTTTAGGTCTTCCAGTCTGTGGGTATCACTCGATGGCTCCCTTTAACATGTTGGTACTGAACTTGCAATAACCATATGTCTTTCATCTTATTGACTGAGATAGGGATTTGCAATTCATGAATTAGTTGATCCGTTAATATGCAATATGTTTTATTCAGATATCCTGTAAGCACTAGGTATTTAAAATGACTTTGTACTGGTATTAATATATGTAAAAATATGATAACTGAGGAAATAATGACGAACGCCCGAAGGTCATTTATATCAAAGGTGGAGTGATAACACCAGGTGTTCGCAAAATATTAATCCTTTGATATTAAGCATAACTTAATATTGTTCTTGTTTTCATTTCAGTTCAACACTATATATTAAGTTTTGTTATTGGTAATATACTTACCACTTTTTAAACGCCTTGTAAAGAACTGAAAGAATCCAGGATCCGTTGCATCCAAAAAACCACACACATCCAAAATTTCTGGAATTTCACAATCTTCTAACTTAACAATCAACATACGCTGTTTGTGTAAACTGGTAGCTGTGAGATTTTTCAGAATCTCTTGAAATTCCGGCCAGGTTTCTTCAACGTATTTTTTCGACAGCACCAGCACCACACGTTCACTCAACATCACAGCACACAACAGATTCTGACTGATACTCAATCGCCTATTGAACTTTTCACACAGGTAGTACGTCTTGTATGTGTACGGTGGAGTCTGGAGTTGGTTGACAGTCTCCTCAACCCACTCCACGTCCGCTGGGCAGTGCGAGAAGAACACATGGTAGCGGTACAGGTCACTGAGGGGTGGAGCAGCACACTGGTCATCGTCTTCAAAGTCCACACAACTGTCCACAAGCGACTCCTCCGCAAGTGATGCGTCTTCCCGATACAACTGGTATCCGTTCTCCGACTGATAATCCCCTGTAAGGTAAATGGTATCTTCTTGTGGGGTTTCACGGGGTATCAGGATCTGATGGTCTGAAAAAGACAGAATTTTATTGAGTGAATGAGTGAGTGAGTATGGTTTTACACCGATTTTATTCCAGCAGGATCATAGCGAGGACACCAGAAATGGTTTCACATATTGAAGCGTGTAATGATTAGAAACTGGGTCTTCACATCGCGGCCTGAATTTGATTGTAATTCAATGTAAGATGTAAATTTGCCAAAAAAGTTTTGGTACTTTTTGTCGTTTCCATTACATTGTCAAATTTTCATCAAATTATGTTGTAGGAGAACATCGCCTTCCCGTCTCAGCTTAAATATTGCCTAACGCGGCGTGAAATCAACACACAAACATCCATATTCATGTAGTCAGAACGAAAGATAGAACTACAAACAAGGCAATAATAAACAAAATTGTTCTTATAGTACTTTTTCATTGCAACGTAAACATTCATCCATTCGAAGTCAACAATTCGATGTATATGAACTCGGTTAAATCGAAGTGTTCCTCTGAACGCAGTTTTCATTTAAAAGAAAGTTAAAGTTGATAATATAATAGACGATAATGTACAATGAATCTTCGTTAATTCGGAACCCTGGGACAACTAAAACATATCGAGTTACCCTTAGTTCGAGTCAAGCGGATCACCTATATTAAAACTGGGCAGCATATTCTATATTGAGTTGAACGAGTTTAAGTAAACGAGATTGCAATAAAAATATTGACAGATTTGCATATCTGGAGCCGAGAATCATTTCCTTTTTCATGAAGCCCATTACAATGTGCATGCATGTATGTAATGGTTTAATCCTCTGCCTATGGTTACGCAATGAATTGACGCTTTCTGTCAAGAGACCCAATCATGTTTCCTGCTTCATTGGAGAGATTAACTACATGTATCCGGTATCTCCTCAACACGGACTTTTGACTCATCAGCTAATGACACGTAAAGTCATCACACCAATCCTTCCGGGATATCACCTACATGCATGTGATGAAGTTGCTTTAAATGACATTGCATCCATCAATGCACATTTCTGCAGCTGGTTTAACCTGATATTTGTTTCTCGTCGAGTACTTCTTTTCTTCAGTGAATCTGCGATCGATATTTTGAACAATTAATTGTGTCTCTGGAATCATGTAATGCAGTTTCATTGACGTTATCTTTCTACAGCCACTTTACCTGCACGTGGTAAGCTTTGCATTGTGAGCTTACACCCAACATCTCACCATTAAAATGCCAAGCAGAGTGATAAACGATAGTAAGTTTCATATGAAACGGCAAACTTCAAGACATCAAGTCGTGACAAAGGTCAAAGGAAAATGTTTTGCGGTTTTAAAAGAAAAGTGCAAACGTGCATCCTCGACAAGAGCACATCCATATCTTCCTTTTAGGGATTGGTGTTTCAAGCAGAGAGTGTACCTGAGGGAGTAGTCGAGTAACAAATCTGGGCATAACAGAGAAGATTGTCCCCTTCTGCAGAATTGATTGTGTCCGCTACAACAAGCGTCATAAATATCCGACTCGTATAACGGCCTACATCAGTTACAGAGATGCGCAGCAGCTGGTTGTAGATATGTGTATGTGCAGCTGTACACATGGGATTCAGAAATACGATGACATTAAACTATGGTGTGCCAGTAAAACAAAGACAAAAACCTAAATCATATGAACATATACAATTAGTGAAACAAAGAAAAAAAATAAAGCTTTAGAACAAACACAATTGGTGAGTGACAGTTCACAACGGTGGTATAAGAGTATATATATACTGAACCGCAAAAGAAACATCACCCCAAGTAATATTGCATGAAAAGTTGTCATTTAAATATCTATGTAATTTTTTGTCAAAGTTTCTAAAATTTAACATTACCTTGTCCGGAAAATGAAATTTGATGATAAAACAAACAAAGCAGATGACAAAACCGATCGCCCAAACGCATCACGGCAACGGCCATGGTAACCCGATGCACGTGAGTTCCGTGCAAATTGAATTGCACATGCGTTCCCCCATAATCTTGCCCTATAAAAGTCCACCCAGATCGGATTACATTCTTTCGTTATTGAATTGCTACCACATGCCAAGATTGACAAGAAGTCAGCGACACCAAGCCCTTGGACGATTGCAAGCTGGACAAACCGCCCGACAAGTAGCCAATGCATTTCAGTCCACGTAAGGACCATATACGGGCTCCAGCGACGGTACCAGACCACCAACACTACAGATGACCGACCACCTAGTGGAAGACCGAGTGTCAGGATCATCAGATCGTGCGACAGCATCTTCAAGATCGCTTTGTTACTGCTGCAGGAACTGCTCGACAGACCATGGGGACACACCAGCGATGTCACAGGCCACACCGAGGACCCATTCTGACACCACGTCATCGCCGGGACCGTCTTCAGTGGGCAACATAGCACAGCACCAGCATTGGCGCCACCAGCAATGGAGAAGAGTCCTCTTCTCAGATGAGAGACGTTGCTGTATCTCAACAGCAGATGGCAGAGAGAGAGTCTGACGACGCCGTGGGGGACGTTATTCGGATGCTTGTGTTGTTGAGAGAGACTCGTAGATTGGTCCGAGCATCATGGTGTGGGGTGGAATTGGTCTTGCACAGTGGGTCGGTCCTGTGGTCTTCCAAAACATCGGTCCAGGGAGAGGTAATGGTGTCACAGCTGCTCGGTACATTGATCAAGTCTTGAGACCACACGCCATACCTCATTTGGCACGTCGCCGCAACCACGAGTTTCAGCATGATAACGCCCGTGCCCACACTGCGAGAGCAACAAGAGACTTCCTCCAGCAGAATGGCATCAGAACCATGCAGTGGCCTGCCCTCAGTCCCGATTTAAATCCCATTGAGCTCCTGTGGGACAAGATTCTAAGACGGCTGAATGACGTCCGACCAAGGCCGACAACTGCAGCTGAACTGCGTCAGGCGTTCCTTAGATCGTGGGCTCAAGTGCCTATAGCCTTCATCAACCGCCTCATCCATTCCATGTATCGAAGTTGCAGAGAAGTCATCAATTCATATGGCGGACACACGAGATACTGACTTGTGATGCCATTTTCGCAGAGACTAGTGTTGTGTTTCACTTTAAGAACATTTGACACTTTAATATCAAACTTGATGATCAGTTTTGCCAAATTTCATCTCAAAGCATGTTTACAGTATTTGGACAAATAAGGTTTCTCATATAGCTATCCATTGGTGACGTTTCTTTTGCGGTTCAGTATATATAAAATATTCAATGCAGATAAGATGGTAACATGCCTTAATAAGTGACTTTGACACTTTAACGTAATGATGTGTTCAAATGTACATTGAATTTGGACAGATGTTTCAAAGTGGATATATTTTTAGGTGATAACGTTTTACGCAGTTTACGCATATTTGGTCAGATATAACAATTCTTTGGGACATAAAGAAGTCGTTGTTGGAGAAGATCTTCACAACTAAAAAGACAGTGAAACTCGTCACCAACAGCAGATTAATTGCACAGTGTACAGACACGGGACCAGGTTCATAGAGCGTGCAAAATGCGGTGAAACAAAAACTGTTTAAACGGTTTTAAATCATCGTGTTGGAAAATAATTGAAAATAATTGATGTCATATACACTGTCAGGGGTGCAATGAGTTCATGTTTCAGTGGAGCGCCAATCGTAAAGAAGTGTTCTGGTTGTGGGATGAATATATTTGTCATGCGGCTAGTTCAACCTGATATTTGTTCCTCAGGTACTGTAAACTACGTTTATAACGAACACGCTTATAACGAACTGACGGGTATAACGAACTTACTTTTTTTGTTCCGACTATTTGCTGTAGTTCTGCTGTATATAAATATTATGCTCATAACGAACTTCGATTATAAAGAACAAAAATTAATGGTCCCTTTGAGTTCGTTATAACCGTAGTTTACTTCAGTTCGTTTCTTCTGGAGACCACGATCAATATTTTGAACAAATAATTGTGTATTTTGATCATGTAATCCTCATGTCCATTAACACAGTCTGTACACAACCACGTTACTTCTACGCGGGTCAATGAGTACCCTCATTGTGAGCTTACACAAAGCATCTCTCCTCGTCAAGTAATTGGTATGGGAAATGACAAGCTGCGTGGATAAACAATAATCAGTTTCACGTTTCACGGTAAACTGCAACACATCAATTCCGGACAAAACACAAAGGAAAATTTTCTGCGTAATCAAAGACAAGAACAAGAATCCATGACAAGAACACCTTCACATCTTCCTTTAAGAGTTAAGTATGCCTCAGGCAGTTTTCGAGTAACAAATCTGAGTATAAGCAGAGATGATCGTTCCCTTTTGCATAATTGGAGATCATTGTGTACTACAGCAAGCTTAATGAAAGCTCTGATATGTTTACCGGCCTGCGCAGCAGCTGGTTGCAGACATGTGTACAATTGGGATGTAGAAATACGATGACATAAAATTTAGCGAAAAAAACTAAATCATTAGAACAAAAACAATTGTTGAGTCACGGGGCCAGGACCAGCTTTGCAAAAATTCTGTAACAGAAAACCTGTGTCAACCTCTTTGAATAACCTCGTTGGAAAATATGTACTGTTAGGGGAATAATGTTCATGTTTCCATAGATCGCGAATCGTTAAGAAGCGCTGGATTGTTTGAACGTTAGCTATGTCAATACATTAGGTTTTTCGATATACATAACAGCTTATATTGATCGATGTGGTTACAATGAGTGCAATTTAATCACCTTTACTGCCAAAACCTTCAAGTCTTATTGTAGAACGCCGTGATATAACTGGAATACTGTTAAAAGCGGCGTAAAACCAAACTGACTCACTCACTTATTGTAGATATTTGATGGATCACAAATTTGACGCATCACTGACCACTTATCCGATGCAATTCCATATTTTGGCCTGTACCGTATGTCCCTGTTTTTTCAGGCGAACAATTGCTTTGCCTTTGCGTGTGTGACGCCGGCAAGGCAACATACCCTCGCGTCTTCGTGAACACCTGGTATCATCACTATTTTACGG